TGCATGACTTGCAGGTTGTGTAGTCATTTTACATTTGCAGAGTATGGTGGTATAATATATCCCAGTGTAATCTGAGCTTTTACGCTCACTTTTTACTTCTGTATGTTGACATAAACTACTATAAATTCCAGTTGTCATTTACCAGTTTCTACCAGTTATGATTCAGTCTTAATCTTGTTGATATTTTTAAGAGTTCAGTAAATAATATAATCTATATTAATCTAGATTTGTTTTTGTTTTATTCTTTAGAATGATGTGAGCAGTATAGACTACTTTGTGCATATATGTTTAGGGGAGGTACATTTCTTGTGTTATCCAAATCTGAAGACAAATGCAAATATTAGTTTTTATTACCGTTGGCAGTTACAACAGAAAACTGCTTTTGCAGTCTTTCGTGTTATTTTAAAATCAGGACTGTTGCCTTTCTATTTAGAGTTTTTCAAAGGCTGTTTATTGTCTTGGGTATATCTTACTCTGCTAGGAAGTAAAATGAACCAGAAATCATTCTGCAGCACTGAGGTTAATTGGCACAGCATGATTCAAATCCATACCAAAACAAACACTTTCGCTTTCCAAAACAGGATGGCTTCATTCAATTTACCTTTTGCCTGTGCAAAGGATATTCCCAACTGTACCAAGACATGTGACGTAGGAGAGAGCTGGGATTGCACAGACCAAAACTGTGCCAGGAAGCAATAACTTAATGGCATTGGATGTTCATAGGCCAGTCCTCAGACCTGTTCACCATTGCTGTGCAGCTTGCTAGTATAGATCATAAAGTCATAGAATGGCTTGGGTTGAAAGGGTCCTCAAGAATCATCTAGCTCCAACCCCCCAGCTGCAGGCAGGGCTGCCAACTTCCATATCTAATACTAGATGTATATAGAGTAACATGTATTGTATAATGTAATACTAGATGTAGCATTTGATATAGAAATGCCATCACAGTAGCATCTTAATACTTTACTCAGTGTAATTTCTTCTGTGGTGTAGTTTCTAGCTACTGATCTGTAATGGAGGAGGAGGAGTGCAGAATTTCTGGCAGATTATAAAGCATGCAACAGACAGGTCTCATAAAACCAATATCCATAACACTGGGGTGTTTTTAATCTAGCAAATAACAGTGTAATAACTTCACTGTTACTTAAACAAATTTGGACTGAATAAAACAAGCAAAGATGTATCTGATTGTAAACTTTCAGCTTTACTTCAGCTTTTCCTGTCACTAGTCAGTCTAACCCCTTCTTGTCAGATATATTAGTAGAGGCAGGTTAAATAGTTAAGGTGCTTTTCTGATGGATAATGTTGTCTGCTAAGTATTTAGGATACTCAATCCTTGATGAGCTTTAAGTACATTAAATATACTTACATGCATTGCAAAGAAGTACAAAAATGAAAATTTTCACAAGGAAATTTCTCCTTTACTGTAATACACAAAATACATACTTTGCACTTACTAACCTTGAGCTTGTTGAAACTACATAATATATAACTTCGTAACTACTTAACTATGGATTCAGAAAGCAAAAATTCTGTTTTACTGTCTAAAAGAGAAAGGCATGTTGTGATGTATGGGCTCCCCTTGCTGGAAAACACGTGTAATGCAGAGAAGCAAGCAATACTTAAGACTGCCAAAACCTCCTATATTAGAATATTTTTTCTTTAAATTCAGTAAGTAGCTGAAAATGTTATAACTAATACTTTCAATTTTTTTTTAAATATAAATTAGTTAATCTTATTTCATTTTATTCATAAACTTCTAATTGCAGTTTCTCATAGCCAGGAGATTAGCCTTAGTTTTCCTCTTAGTGCATTCATGAATAGTATTGAATAACTAAGTTTGATATTTGCATTTCATTAGCAGATGTTTGTAGTCTGAAATCTGAACTATGTTTGGGACATTCATACTGACTTAGCAAAGGCCTGAACAAAGGACAGCTAGAGCCAAACTAAATGAAGACCATATTAAAATGCCATTTGACTTTCAAAATTGGATATAAATATTAAATGATACTTTAATAGAGAATCTGACATGCTGCTGCTGCTACTAAAACTACAGTGGTATTCAAATACCTTTTAAATATGGTATTACTCTTTGAGCATTTGTTTAAGTATGTAATATGTGGGAGAAAGAATTTTTAGACTTGTGTAGTGCACTATTTCTAACATGAAAGTCTTTACTTAAAATTGCTGCTTTTTTAATAAATGTGGCGAGAGTTTCTGCACGTTGAGAACCCGGGAGTTACTTTAGGACTGAAAAAAAATCATATGCTTCATTAAATAACATTTAAGTTATTTCTAAAGGTTGAATTTTCACCATGCATGCTTTCATGTATCTGCTAACTGCTAGTGTTTAAAGTTATCTAAATTAATAGGTAATGCTTTTGAAATGTCTTAGTTAAGTCTATAGATTGTTATGCTTCATGACAACAGTTGCTACAGCAGTTATTTTTGACAGCCTGTTTTTGGATATGTGTATATACAGAAGTCATAGCTGTACATATACCTCTACAAAATGTTAGGAAGCATGTATCTGGCACAGAGTGCTTTGTAAACAGAAGTCTATTCCAAGGTGGCAGTTTGCCCTTATGGAAAGGCGTGGATTAAATGCCACTACAGTTGTGAAAATGCTGCATCTCAAGGCATGGTTATGTTATTCACATTATTTCTGAGAGGTCAGCACAAGAAATGATTTTAGTTGACACGTTCATGTGCCAGTGCACAGATGCTATTTGGTGGTGAGGTTGGTGAAGCTATGTAGCACGCTGTAGGCATTATCTGTAGTTCTATCCTGCATCTTCTCCCAGGAAACTCCTTCACTACGCCTGTGGGATTAAGGATAAAGATTAGTAACTCTGTAATGTACGAGTGCTCAGATTAAAAGCAGTTTTGTTTAGCAAGTGGCCTGCAGTATGGCATTTCCTATAGTCACTGATTTAACAGTAGAATAACAGATTTCAGTTGCCCTTTATCTTTTTAAAGTTAAATAAAGACTCTGCAAGTCCAGTAATGGAAGAAATCAAGTATGATAACTTATTGTGTCTTGGTGCCTTTAGTAAGTAACTTATGGCTATGTCAGCAGCTCATCTTTAATAAGCAAGCAACAATTGCTTCCTGTTTGCTGAGCTACCTTAGATGGTGTCTGTTTCCCTTTGGCTAGAGAAGTAGCTTAGATTATTTTTACTTATTTCACTTGCCTAAAATTAGATGAGATGTCAAGTCAGTGAATTTATCTGGGATTTCAAAATATTTCTTACACACAAACTTTGTTTTGTGTATCAGGAGTCCTAGGTGCTAGAGAATGCAATTTCATGTGTTGTCTCTCTACTGAGTTTGGGACTTCATTAACATTTTTCTTTGTCAGAATGTAGGTGAAATTTCCCTCTATCAAGATCTCAATTTCTTATTTCATTATATATTTTAGGGACTGATTTTGAAAACTATCAATTGAACTGCAACCAAAATAAAAATTGAGATGCCATAGTTTTCAGTGGAATTACTGTGGTTACACTTACGAGCACCTACCCTACAGTTTGACTAATTCATCTTTTTTCTTACTGTAGGGGTAAAATTTGCTGATTTACCCTTTAGGGAAATAAAAGACTGTTCTATTGTGTTACTGATTGACTCAGTGATTATCCTCTCTTTTCTTCTGCAAATTCAGCAAGCTGCAGTCATCCCAGATGCGGCTTCCTTCCTTTCCATCCTCTTGTTGACTACATAATAGAGGAGGAAGAGACTAATCAGGGGAAGGCTGTGTTCTCCTTAGCTTCTGGCAATCAGTTTTGCTAAGTGCAATCTTAACAGCCATGTAGCTAAAGCAAAGGGGCTTATTATTTTGAGCTTGGGATAATATTCCATTAAAATAATATTGTGGAAAAACTGCTTGTAATGTGTTTAGTCCTCAGTGAGTTAACTTCCTTAGAGAATAGAGAAGCTTGTTACTGAAATTGATGCAAGAGTCTGTGCTGATACTCACTGTTTGCAGGAAATTTAGCCAGCTCACAAAAACCAAGGCCACTTCAAAGTCTGTGAGAAATTTCTCTAACCTGGCTGTTATATTTAGTGGGTATATCTTCTCTAATAAGGGCTCAGTGGGATAGAAATCTGAATCTTTAGCTGTCTTAAATTGATAAAATTAAGATTGAATGGTAGCTGTGTGTAAAACAGGTGAAAAAAGATTTATGGACTTTGCATTCTGTTAATTGGTACCCAGGCTGTGGTGTTGCATTCAGGAGAGAGGCAGGAAATTGCTCATACAGAATCCTTCTCAAGCACTGTCATTTGCTGTAATAATCAGGCTGGCACATAAATTGTCTGAGCAGTGACAGTTGCATTTTGTGAAACTGTAATTGAGCATACATCTTGTTCTTCAGACCCATTCAAAAAGTCCTTCATCAAAAGACAACGTATGCAAGCGTATACATCCAGAACTTTCATGTAATTATTCCAGGGAACTATAGGTTAAATTGTGAAAGTCATACAGTCCACAGACATAGGGTTGATGGAAGGGAGTACTGAGGAGTGTTTATGCAATGTTATGTTCACAATATGACTTCTTAATGTAGGCAGACTTACTGAACGGCTGTTAAGTTTCAAGAAATCTAGCACATTATTTTGTTTGGCAGATTATTTAAATATAACCTTATCCAGTAAGCAGTTGTGTCCAGTCTAGGAGGATGCTTGTCACCATTTGTTACACAGCTTACCATGTTGTAGGAGAGTTCTGCTTAAATGAAATGCTCCCTGTCAAATTAGATCAGAATGTCTGAGGTACAATGCTAGTGCTTAACTGTCTGACAGAAGCTGCCTGTCAGTATTAGGATTTGGTTAAAAAATTAACAACTCCATTGATAATATTTGGTGCTCTTCGGAACTGTTCACCTCATGGCAGAGAAAATTTTTATCAGAGATGGTTCTGAAGGCTTTTACTTCATTTAGAAACAATTAACTCAAAGTGTTGGGTTTTAAACTAAAATCTGTCATTTTAAAAATCACAGTGTTCTTAAGACCACAAAGAAATTTGGAATCAATAGACCCACAGTTTACAATTCGGAGGAAAATGGAGCAGATGAGAGAAGAGAGAGAGCTTGTTGAACAGCTGCGTGAGGTACGTGAGTGTTGGTAGAACTGTGCTGATGTCATGTTTTTCGTTTTCTTTGGGAAAGATGCATAATTAGGAAAACATTAACAAACAGAACAAAAACAAAAACCCCAACAGATGAGACAATATTACTTTTGTAAATAATGTGGGTGAGGCCATTCTTGAAGTGCTTGATTCCGGTTTGATATTTGTACTTAAGAAAAGGTTTTTGTAAATGGGAAATTGTCGTGTGTGTTGCCTGAGTGACATACAGTTAAAGAGCATTCCATGTGCTGGTAGAATTAACAGCTTATGTAACTTCCTCAGAAAAGATGAAGCGATCACTTGAGAGAGAATGATATCTATAAAGCATTTCTTAACAACTGGAGAAGTCTTCAATCTGGCAAGTAAAAGGCGTAATGAAAATTGGACAAATACAGGCATTTTTTTGAATCAGATAACGAATGCTTGAAATAAGGTTGGTTTTTGTCACTTGAAGGGTGCACACAATGGTTTTGATGTGCAAAGTGGAAAAAGTCTGCTGCTGTAGTACAGCTGATTTTGGACAAGTGCAATTTCAATGATGACAAAAAACAGGATAGAATTGGTGTACTAACAGAGTCTCAAATTAATTAATTCTAATAAAAAAAACATAAATTCCATTCAACAGAAACATGTATTTTTCAGTGATGGCAAAGAAGACCTTTTCACTATTAGAAAACTTTCAGGCATGGCTTCTTTCAACTAGAAACTGGCAATAGAATTGTTGTAGATGGGCTGTACTCATCATAAAAATGCACCCTAAACTTCATGGAACAGTCTCCCAACAAGCAAATCAGTGTTTTAAGAGAAGAAATTTTTAATTTATTAATGTGTATAAAACTGTTTGTAGCAGCTTTGCCTGTTCTCTCGTAAATGCCAGACAGGGGAACGTGTCATGTGCAATCATAGCTTTTGGTTTGACTTTGGATTTAGAAACCATCTTTGGTACATGGGAAACATGCAGAAAGTTGCACATAAAAAATTTAAAAAGTTTTTCTAAAACTGCTGCAAATTACTTTACTTTGCAATATCAGATTGTTTTTAATGGGACTTGGACTTGAAAAGGAATTCTTGGATATGTGTTATATCTGAATGTTTTGTCTTGTATTATGTATTGTTTCATCTCTCTAACTCTTTGTAAGTAGTTTTCAGACTACTGGGGAATAACTATCTTGTGCTCTCTGCTCACAATGTAATTCTAATTCAAAGTACTGCTGATAAAATTTGTGATGGTTAGGTGGAAGTCCTGGTGGAAGAAAGCACCTATGTATAGTGCAATCACACTACTAATTATTTGGGTACATGTATGTTCTTATATGCATGTATATAAAAATAAATGCAAGTTATGATAGCAGCATTGGAAATGTAGACTTCTTTAAAGCAGTTTACATACTTCAGCAACCAACATGGGCTAGAGGGGCTTTGTAGTTGTTTAATAATTAATTACATAACAAATGGGATTACCAGTAAACTGAAACAGCGTACTTATCTAGCAGCATGGGAGATTAGGAGAAGATATGTGCTTTCTCTTTCTTTATTTGTTTCTCTGTTGAAGTGTGTACATGTTCTTTATTTGCAGAACATTGAAACAAGACTAAAGATATGTTTGCCTGAGGACTTGGGGTCTGCTCTAATGGATGGTGTAGTTCTTTGTCATTTAGTAAATCACATTCGACCTCGGTCAGTAGGAAGTATTCATGTACCTTCACCAGCAGTAGTAAGTTGAATGTTTCTTGTGTTTTACTTTGCTTCTGTAGGGGAGAGTTGTTTTGAAAACAAACAAAGAACAACAACAAAAAAAACCCACAATCCCTCACAAAGCTTAATGTGAAATGATATTCGGTTACATAAATTGTAACACAAAATGAGAGTTTCTAAGAAGACAGATGTTAAGAAAAAACATTTTCTGAGATGATCTCATAAAGTTTCTTTTACTGTCACTTGGTTTAAATTACTTCTGCTGAGTCTTTGGTGAAGGTATGATATTGCAAAAATACACAAAACTGAGTTCCTGGTGTAAAATCTTGAAGTTCTGTTGCTGACTTATTATCTGTAATAGTAAATATTTTAAAGCCATTTTCATTCTTTTTCAGCTTTATATTGATGATATTCTCTTGCTAGAAACAGTTTTCAAATGACTTGAGCCTTGGAAATTAGTCCTTTAAAATCCCTGATGTTATTGTGAATTCTAGGTTTAAATAGGTATTTAGTAGTTACTCTTGTTTCATGTCTTCTATTGAACAAGTAAAATAATGATTTGGGTGGTGTTTTGCTTTTTTTTTTTTTTTTACTAACATGATGTTTCTGTAAGTATTGGGAAGATAGTCCCTAGAGAGATAAATTTTAAATGGTAACAGGAAGTTTCTTCTTCAGACATGAAAATTGTGTATAGCTACTTTGTATTTGCGAGTACGTAAAACATGAAAGAATGTGAAAGCTATATTACATTGAAATCTGTTCCCCTTAATGTATGTTGAAATGTGTCATGAGTTTAATTGCTATCCAGAAGAATGTGTTCTATCACAGAGCATGAGGTTTTAGAACCTCACAAGCTGGAGATAAGTAAGTAGAGACTTAAATGCGTTGATGACTTTACTAAATAAAAGCACATAGTATCCACAGCTTTCATACTGTGATTGTATTTGTATTTTTTTTATGAAGTTGGAGGGGGAGGAAAAAACAAGGCTGAATAGAATTATATGCTTTGTTATGGTGCATCAATACAGTAACAAAAAAGATAAATTTATTGACTGAATGAATATGTTGACTTCTTTTGCCATAATGTATTTTTTTTTCCTGTTTCTGCAGCCTAAACTTAGCATGGCCAAATGCAGGAGAAATGTTGAAAATTTCCTGGATGCATGTAGAAAGCTGGGGATACCAGAGGTAATTTAATTGTCTACCATTTCCAGATGATAGAAAATGTGAAGCGTGAATTTCTTAAAGTTGAGGGATAGCTTTATGAAATAGCAATTTTCAACAATAAAGACATCTTGCTTGATTTCAATTTTTAAACTGTATGATTTAATGTTGCTTTAGTGCATTTAACTGATGCTACAGCATTTAAGAATGCAAATTTTGTCTTGAATTTGTAATTTAGTATTATCCCCAGCACAGCCTTATGTTTGCACTAAGGAATATGGTAAATGAGTAATAAGATGGCTGTAATTAAGCACAAGTTTACTGATTTTTCTGTATACAACTGTAGCTACATTTTTACCTACTGCTTTTAGAAGATGGGCTTCATTTTTTTTAATTGATGACTTTTCCTTTTTTACCATGTGACATACTCAATAGTATGTATTGTGAAAGTGACTAATAATACACTCATGTACTGAAATACTTCTGCAGTGATGGGAAGAAAACCATTCTGTGTGTTAAGGATGGGATGGACCTGTGAGTAAGGTTGTCCTATTTGTATATAAGTTGTGGAAATAGGGAAATTGCAGAGCATGGTGTTTTCTGCTTTTCCATTCAAGGATAGTAGCATTCATTGTGTAATCTGTTCTCAAATTAATAAGGAAAAATGCCCTTCTAAATAATGTAGTGAACTATGGGTTTCATTGGGAATTGTTCGAAGATTCTTTTATGGTCTAGAAGCATGCTTTAAAAAAAACTTGGATTTAAAATATTGGATCCTGAAAATACTGTAGAAGTGTCTTACGACGTCTTTTTAATTGAAAATGTGAAAATTGCATGATGTAGTTCCTTTGTCTTTTTGCATACATATGGCACTATGATTAAGACTGAATGCTTTTTAGCCTATATTTCAAGAATGCTGGAATAGAAGGACATTCTGTCTGTCTTCCTCCTCCACCATCTCTTTGGGAACAGATGATACTGCAAAGATTTCACACTGGAAAAGAATTCCAGTTTTATTTATATTTTATCTACATTTTAGCACTTCATTTGGAGGAAATCAGAAGTAACAGCTCGTTTTTGCTATCTGTAGGAATTTTGAGGGGGAAGCAACCTTACAACTCTAGGGAATGATTCATAATCAGTGTGATGAATTCAGTGTTACGGGCTGGCCTCTAAGCTGTCATTAGGTAATTTATGATGTTAGAACTATTTAAAATTTCACTAAAATTTCGTTTCAAAGAAGATGAACAATAATAAGTTCAAAATCTCAGTGCTGTGGGCTTATGGACGAAGTAGGTATGGAGTGTTTTTTAATCAGCCCTATTGTCTTGTGATATGTTACAAATTATTCAGTGAGTTAGAATTCATGTCAGGTTCTTTTCCTGGGAAAGAAAAGGCCGAGAGCAGTTGTTGTGAAGAGTTCTTTCAAAAACAGAAGTAAAACAGAACACTTTAAAATCTTTGCACCCTGTATCATAGAAAAGTAAGCCAACTACACCAATAATTTCTTTTTAAATTAGTTCATAGAATCATAGAATGGCCCGGGTTGAAATGCTCATCCAGTTTCAACCCCCTGCTATGTGCAGGGTCACCAACCAGCAGACCAGGCTGCCCAGAGCCACATCCAGCCTGGCCTTGAATGCCTCCAGGGATGGGGCATCCACAGCCTCCTTGGGCAACCTGTTCCAGTGCATCACCACCCTCTGAGAGAAGAACTTCCTCCTAATATCTAACCTAAACCTCCCCTGTCTCAGTTTAAAACCATTCCTCCTTGTCTTATCACTATTCACTCTCGTTAACAGTTCTGGATCTCTATAAGTAAACTTTTTGGAAATGTACCTTTGTTTTCTGTAAATAGGCATTTTTCATGTATTTATTGCTCTACTTTAAAACTTGCATTAAAATTAATGTAGCATTTTTGAAATTTTGGGGGAGTATTTTGTTGCACAGAACCTTAAGTAAAGGATGAGATCTTATCAATATGATTTATAAACTATCAATTCTTATGAATCTAAAGAAGCATTACCTTCTCTTGAGGGAAAAGCTAATTCACTTAAATGCTAAGTGAACTGCTTGCAATTGTAGATTTATGATAGTTGTGTAAGTACTCTGAGGACGTATTTGATTCAGTGCTGGTAATTGGCAAATATAAGTTTGCCACATGTTGTGAAAATCCATTGTGTTCCAGACCTAGCTGGTAGATAACAGAATGTTTCTGTGTGCTGGAGGGAAGGGAATAAGGAATATAAAGTTGTACGCCAGCTGGCAGGAAGTTTTTGAAGAGCTGCTGATGGTGTGTTTACTGCTGCTTCACCTAGCTACCTATGAACAATGCAGCGAAAGGAATTAGCGAACCCTTCCCCTTTTTTGGAAAGTATCTTAATTGGAGAGATGCTTTGCTGATGGATCCTAATACAGACAGGTTTTTTGGTTTTTTGTTTTTTGTTTTTTGTTGTTTTTTTGTTTGTTTGTTTTGTTTTGTTTTTGTAATACTTATTTAATTCTAATGAGGTTTAATTCTTGAGAATTAGCTTGAAAATACTGCTGGACTTTTTGTTTGCTTTTTGAAGATTTAAAATTGTCATAGATCCAGTTGTTTACCTATGGAATTGGAGTAAAGCACACAGTTTCATGGACTCTGCAGCTTTAAAATAATGTACTATCAAATCATGTAAAAAGCAAACCAGAAATCGTAGTTACTGTGCTGATGTGCATGGTGTCTTACCAGCTCCATTGCTTTCAGCATTTGATTCTTGTGTCAGAATTGCTTTCTCCAGAAAGATTCTGGTAAACTTTTCTGCAAGGGCAGAAAATTTAGTAGGCATCCAAATCCGGGTGTGTCAGATGAGCTTCAGGGCTTGACATCTTGACCAAAGTCACAAAAAAACAGAATAAAGGAATGAGAGCTTCTCTGTATAATGACCTCATATGTAGATGATTCTGGAATTACTTGTACCAGCTGATACAGCAAATCTGTTAATTACCAGAGGAGAATTTCAGTACAGTGGGCCATTAAGATCACTTTGTTAGTGACCATCTGATGCTCCTGATTGTATGCAGAGGGATGTTTTAAGGGTATGACTGACACTTTAATAAGCAACTAAATAGCGTGGCTCTTACTGCACAATTCAGCCAAGAGTGAGAATAGCAAGTAGGACAAGCAGAATATGTCCAACTTTGCCACTTTTTTCCTCTAGGGCCTTTTTGATTTCCAAGGTATCATACATCTTTGTAAGCTATCATTTTTGGAAACAAAAAAATTGTTCTTGATATGAGGAAGTGCTAGTGGCAGATAAGCATCTGAAATCCTGAAGACAATATATTATGCAGTGCCCATGAACTACAAGCTTACTTACTAAGAAAAGTATGAAAGAAAACTATATTTTACACTGCTGACTAAAAACTGTGGAATTGCCTGATCTCTTCTTTAACAACCGTAGAATGGCAGATTCCTGATTTTTGCCTGATACTGATTACATGAGCAATTGGAAGCAATGTAGCAAGTAGGAGTGCCTGTCCTTTCCGAATGATGTGCTGTATGTGCTGGGAATGGATTGTTAGTGTCATGTGAACCCACTGTTGACACCAGCTGTATTGCTTACTACGACCACCTGTACTGCACCTACCATCTCATACTTTCTGGGGTTCAAAAATAAAGCTATTTTTTAGCTTTATTTATATCTTTGCACATTTATAAGCGTGGTCTCTGAAGTTTCAAAAGTCCCAATTCTAATGCAGTTCTGTTCTTATTGAGACCTTATCTTAGAGGCATTAAAAGTGATCAGGAAAGTCTGAATTACTGTAACATGAGTATATATGTGATGTTATGAAAATATTTAGGTCTCTATTTGGGAGAATAATACTGTAATATAAAACTAGCAACAGTCACAACGATATGACAATATTCATATACATTTGTTAGTTAGTAGAAGAAATTCTCACCTAGTAGTTCACACACAGTCTGAAAATTTAGTGCCATTTTTGACCATTTCCACATTAGAATCTGTATTTATTTTGATAGCAAAGTAGACTATTTTAATCTTCATATCATTAATATAGTTTAGCATTAGTTTTCATTCCTCCTCGATGTCATTCATACTAATCCATTTTCTGAGGCACTTTCATTGATGTTAACAAAAGTTTGTATGCAAAGCAAAAGAGGAGCTGAGCTATGGTGGGCTGAATACTGCTTTACTACAAGTGAAACATAGACAAAAACAAAGCTGTAAATACAAAGTCTTATTTGAAAGGCAAAAATTGTGCAAGTTTTGGTATGCATTTTTACTAATTGTCAGTTAGTGAACAAGTATGGCATATCAGAAGTAGGACTTTCTAAACATCTTGTCAAAAAGAAATTCAACAAATTACTTTCAATGTTTGTGAACCAGCAGCAGAAGCTATCTTTCTACGTAGACACAAATTATTTCTTACAATCAGCAGTTTACACTGTAATATTTTAACAGTGTGGACACTTGAGATTCTTTTAATGCTTTATGGGACCACTTCAAAGAAATTAAGTAGAGGAGTTACTTTTGAGAAAAGGTAAGACAGGCTTTCCTTACACATACGCAGCTTGTGAATCTTATGTCGTTTGAAACAAAGGTAGGCATGGGTTATCATGATTAATGTTACAATGGTAATTTCTCTTGATAAAAGATGGTGATAAATTCTTTCACAGCTGGCTATTACAGCAGATTTACTGAGCTCCTGTGTTCCAGCATGTTAATAGCGGTGAGCAGCATTTAGTAAGACATACAGTTATTTCTTAGGTGGAAATAGGAGTCTTCTGCATTGTTTCCCAAGTTTTCAGTCAGCTATTTGGACTACACATATTGAACAGATAGGAGTGATGGTAAGAAATTGCTTTTTTTGATATAAAAGAACCTCATGAAGACTCAAGTTACAAAAGACTTCAGTGTGACCATTTTTGGGACTTCAGAATCCTGCAGGTGAGGTTATTACTGCATCTCACCTCCTCTGAAAACCAATTCCACTTTGCTACGTCAGCCAAAATTTTTCTCGAG